TGGCTGGTTAAGTACTGAGCTGAACTCAAGAAAGCCAGTATCAGAGAGGGAGGACTGATGGTCAAAGGGATTAAGACTGGGCTGGTTTAACCCCCAGAAACAGCTGACCAGACAAAGGTTAACTCTTGAATCCCAGGCATCAGCCTGGGAAGCCAGCATGGGACTGATCAAGACCCCCTGAATCTGGGTGTCAGTGAGGAGGCCTAGGTAATCTATTGAGCCTTGGGCAGCAGATGAGTACCCATCCCAAGTATACACACGGACTTTGGACTCCCATAGAACAATGTGAGGTGCACTCTCACCCTGAACTCTTGGGGAAGGGTCTAGGCCCTGCCCTATATGAAATGACAGACTATGGACACCCCCATGGAGGGCCTCACCCTCCCTGGGGGAACGAGGGGATAACGGGGGGGGGATGGAGGGAGGGCACGGGAGGAGGGGAGGGAAAGGGAGAGGGACCTGGAACTGACTTGTGAAGCAACCTTGTTTCTTATCTAAATTAAAAAAAAAAGAATAAAAAAAATGTAGGTAAAATAAACAGACATGTCTCATGAGTTTCTTGAGCACACAAGGTACAAGAAAGCACAAAGGTTCTGACTCGGGCTTATAGCTCACAGGGATCAGCTGCCCCTGTATCTCCCCTTGGGGTTGGTAATGAGGACATAAATCACACCAAGTGCTAGAGTTCCCTGGTGCTCAGGGAACAGTACTACAAGCCCAATCTAACCCAGGACGACTACTCCCCTTTTCATCCAATAAAGTTTTCAAGATCCCTGTTATACAGGCATATAAAATAGGTATTTACCAGTAAGCCATACAGAAATTTCTGTCTTGAAAACAACAAAAGCAAAATAAACAAAATCATGTATACAAATAATTTCAACATTTATTAAGAACAAAAGTAAATTTGAATGCAAAGCAATGGACTTGTTTTTTGAGACAAGGTTTCTCTGTGTAGACCAGGCTGCCCTCAAACTCAACAGAGATCCACCTGCCTCCCCTGTTCTGGGAGTAAAGGTGTGCATATTTACTTTTAAGAATTAAATCTTCGTTGAATATTTGATTCTGCAGGACACAGAGCATCTTCAATGTTTTTCAGGGTTGAATGACATTTTGGTTTTATAGTCATATCACTGCTGACCATATTACTATGCATCAATATACAACACAGAATAGAAGTAGTTTACAGCCATTTCAGAAACTATTGGAAATTCTAACCTAATTCTACAAAACTCATTTAATATTTTAAATGAAACTCAAGTCATCAACTAAACATTCAACACAATGCAATCCAAAGACATTAATTTGATACCTGCTGAAAAAAAGGTAGAAAAGTATTAAATATCTTTCTTTTCCATAATTAAACTATTACATTTCCATAGACACAGAAAACTTTGAATGTATAATAAAAAACACTGCAATTTATACCCTACAACAGCCTTGAACTTGAGTTGAGGCTTTTCAGGCAGCGCTCATTAGCCTTGCCAGGTGTGAGGTATATGCAGTGTGAAATGTGCATGTTGTGTTCAGAACTAAGGCAGCAATCAAGTCTTGCAATATACCATGGGTGAGTACTGCACTCATTATGCACATTCAGATTTGAATTACTTTTTGGTTACTCTGTATTAAGAAATCTTTTACTGACGCCAAGTTTTTCACAATCCACACATTCAGTTACATGACCCCATATGGGGTTGTGACCCACAGCTAAATAAGCTGGGACCTGACCAACAAATTTCACTTCTATATCCTCTGCTGAGATCCTGAATCGCTGCAGCACTCTCCTTTATAAAACTGTGATTAAAGACCTTTTAGTGGTACCATTTCCCATTCTCTGTTTCATAACCTGCCTTCTTCAGCAGGCATTACTTTCTAATCAAGCACAGAGGGTGTTTGCTGGTGTTAGGTGGGGGAGCTGGTACAGAGAGTCCCAACACCACAATTTGAACAGCTAAGAATAAGTGCTAAAGTCTCTGCCACGCACCACCCAACCACATTCCTAGCATTAGGGTTAAAAAAAAAAAAAGGTTCAATTTTCCATGACAAAATCACAAGTTTCAAGATCTAGGGCAGAGTCATATAACAGCTATGTATCATAAAATCTTCTAAGAGCTTTTGCAAAACACCTACATTATCCCCAAACTTAAGATGTTAAATTACTAGCTTTTTATTTTGAGGTCAGACCAAAAAGAATTCTAAGGCTGTTTATTTGCCATATTTAGGATGTTCATGTGGAAGAAATGGCAAACATCTGTCTACAATACTTTCTGGAATTCTGACTATTTTTTCCTGGTCAGAACAAAAGCATTAACTTTTTACTGGAACACAAAATTTGTATTCTAGCATGGAACTTCATAACTGAGACCACAATTCATTTTCGTTTGTTTTGATAGGTGTCTCCTCATCTGCACCTGCTGGCTTTGAACTCACTGTGCAGCTGAAGATGACCTTGAGCTTACACCCTGAATGCCGGGATGATGGGCAGTGACTGGGCGTGGACTATCACCCCCTCCCTATTTATGCAGTCCCAGAGACCAAACTGAGGCATAGCAGTCAAGCATGTTCCCAGCTCGGCAACATTCCCAGCCTACCTCTGTATTTCTTTTTCTTTTCCTTTAAAGACAGGCCTTAGCTGGCCTGCCTCTGCCTAAGTGGCATCTTATTCTTAAACAAGGAAAATGAAAGCCTATTCTAAAGCTTTTGCATACACTAAAGGATATTGACATATAAAAAAATGGAGTAGTACTAACAAAAAAAAAACAATACCTGAATGTTGACTGGGATGTGATCGCCATCTCTCAGTATAGGATATCCTTCCCATCCACATCCCAGTCCTCTTTTTCATTATCTATCTATTCATTCATTTATTGAGACTGCGTCTTCCTTTTGTAGTTATTAATTTATTATTTATTTAGTGTGAATGAGTGTTTGTGTACCACATACATGCCTGAGATGCTTCCAAAGGCCCAAAGAACATGCGGATTCTCTGGGACTGGAGTTATAGACGCTTGTGAGCCACCATGTGGGTGTTGGGAATTAAGCTCCCACCTTCTGGAGGAGCAGCCAGTGAATGCTCTTAACTGAACCCTCTCTCCAGAGACTGTATCTTTTCATGTAGCCCTGGTTCATGTGGAACTCAAATTAGCCTGCCTCTGCCTTCCCAGTGCTGGGATTAGAGGCTTCTGCCACCATATTCATCTTAAGACCACTTTTTGTTTAGTTTTTGTTTTTTTGAGACAGAATCTCACTCTGTAGCTTTCCTTGGACAACCTGGTACTCAATATGTAGTATAGGGTAGCCTCAAATTTATAGTAATTCTCCTGCCTCAACACCCCAATCACTAAGATTACAGGAATACCTGTACCTATTTTTGTTTGTTTGTTTGTGGGGTTTCTAGCATGGTTCTGAGAGTCAAACTCAGGGATCTTTACATGCTATCAGGTTCTCTTTCTCTGAACCACACCCTCAACACCAATGATTATCTTAATCATTAAAGCCTCTTTTGCTGTAATACTTTCAGGTAAAAGTTATGTCCCTTAATATTAGCTCCTGAGTTTTAAAATACCAAATTAGGAACCAGTGAAACTACACTTGCCCTAGACATTCTGCCCTCTGTGGATTGGCGAGGAGCCTCTAGGTGAGGTCTTAGGTACCAGTGACAGAACTGGGCACGATCAGTGCCAGAGCTGAAAGCATTTATACCCCACAGCTTAGTGTGTGAGACAAAGCAAGCTGATACATAACTTTTTTCCACAAGTTATGAATCAAAATGGAGATTTTTCTAGAGACGAAGCTAGATTTCATTGTTGATCACCAACCATTCAACTCATTCAATGAATTTGATGTTGGCTGTTGGCTTGCTATATGTTGCTTTTATTATGTTTAGATATGTTCCTTGTATCCCTGCCAAGACCTTTATCATGAAGGGGTGTTGGATTTTGTCAAAGGCTTTTTCAGCATCTAGTGAGATGACCATGTGTGGTTTTTTTTTTCTTTCAGTTTGTTTATATAGTGGATTACATTGAAGGATTTTCGTATATTGAACCATCCCTACATTCCTAGGATGAAGCCTACTTGATCATGGTGTATGATTGTTCTGATGTGTTCCTGAATTCCGTTTGGCAGTATTTTATTGAGTATTTTTGCATCAATGTTCATGAGGAAAATTGGTCTGTAATTCTCTTTCTTAGTTTGGTCTTTGTGTGTTTTGAGTATCAGGGTAACTGGACCCTCATAAAAAGAGTTTGGCAATGTTCTTTCTGTTTCTGTTGTGTGGAATGATTTGAGGAGTATTGGCATTAGTTTTTCTTTGAACATCAGGTAGACTTCTGCGCTGAAGCCAACTGGGCCTAAGCTTTTTTTGGTTGGGAGACTATTGATCACTGTTTCTATTTCCTTAGGGGTCAGCACTCGCTGTGCACCTCCTCACAACAGCAGGCCTCACCCTCACTGCACGCTGCCTCAGGTCAAGCTCACACTACCTCTCAATGCAAGATCCTCACTATACACTAATGCACAATCTAAGGCTTTACTGTACGCTACCTGTTGTTAGTGTAAGCCCTCACTGTGCAGTACACACAGATGTCACCTCTCTCCTCCTAGTGTTTATTCAGTCTGTGAACCAGCACCCTGAACAGGGAGGACTGATTCTGTGCTCATACAGGTATGCTGACACTCCTTGAGTCCACATGGCATCCTTTATGGAGGTACCAGGACCCCAGACACGTAGGTGGGGCATGTAGAAGGTCTGAGTCAAAGGCATTTGGTCACAGTTTCTATCCTTCAGTTAACCTCTTAAAAAAAAAGAATAAAAACAGTGTATCCTTCAGAATTGTATCTGAAAGTTAACCTAGATTTACTATTTCCAAAGACTCAAAGTAACTCTTAGTTACCTGAATAAATACACAACACAAGCTCTTTACCAGCAAAATGGAATCTGGTACAGTTACTTGACTTTAGAACATAGAAGGAAACATGCCGTAAAAAGGCACACATCTTACCTCAATGTCAAATACTTCCACAGTACCATCTAGCAGTCTCACTCTGATGTGCAGGTGCTTCTCCTGCATCCTGGGTGAGAGGGTCTGCTCCGGTTCCAGGGTGCTCACTCCAACAGAAGTCTGGCCACCCAGGCGTGTTCCTGAAGTCGGTAAAGCTCTGTATGTCCCTTCCATGTCCCCCATTCTTCAGTAGTTGGAAGTGGATACTACAACAAGAGCATACTAAATAACTATCACTTAGATAGTAGAGCAGTGCTAAAAGTGGGCTCATAGAACCCACAATATCATGTATTTAACTTCTGGGAGTTTTTTGTTTTGTTTTTCCAGAGACAGGGTTTCTCTATGTAGCTCTGTAGACTAGGCTGCCTTCAAACTCACAGAGATCACCTGCCTCTGCCTCTCAGTGCTGGGATTAAAGGCATGTGCCACCACCACCCGGCTATATAGTTGTAGCACAAAATTAAAAAAAGAAAAAACTCCTGCTAATATTTCCAAGGTTCTCTGAGTCAGGCACATACATTAACTCACTGAACCTCCAAGAAGCCATTCATGAGTGACATCATCATTCACCTGGGAGAGGGAAGAAAACCCATGACTATCTCTTTTCCCAGAACTTCTCAATACCCAGCATGCATTCCTCCTTCAGTGTGTTAACAATTGGTCCTGGTGTTGGGCAGTGTCCTTTCTAGTAAAAGTAATAGGAGAGCATCAACACATGTCTGGCATTGTCACACTAATCTGAAGCAGCCATGGACCTGTCTTTTACACTGGCTCAGTGTGCAAAGAAGGCCACCAGGGAAGGATATGAAAACAGCCAGACTTGTTTTTGTCAGCCTCGTATGTGGCGTTTGTGCCATGAGCAAGTCTAGTGTATTGGGCGAAAGTCTGAAGACTTAAATGAAAGACAAGATATTTGTGCAGAGAGAGAGAGAGAGAGACAGAGAGAGAGAGACAGAGAGAGAGAGAGAGAGAGAGGGGAGAGAGAGAGAGAGAGAGAGCTGACCTAAACCAGGGGGACGCACATGGACCCCAGAATGATGACTGAGAGAGCAGCACGGGACTGATCCAGACACTCTCCCCCCAACCTGGGTGTCAGAGAAGAGGCTTCAGAAATCTGTGGGACCTTGGAGAGTGTTGGGGAAGTCCTGTTATTTGCCTGTGCATTTGTCAATAAAGTACTGTCTGGCCAATAGAAAACCTAGATAGGAGGGACTAGGAGTCGAGGAGGATTCTGGGAAGGGGAAACACAAGAGAGTCAACATGTGACACCATGGGGGTAGGACGCCAGGAACTATTCTCCGGTAAGAAACATACTTAGATTAACAATTATGGGGTAATTACTTAAGGCAGAGCTAGCCAGTAAGAGACAAACAAGGCCAACAGCTTCATAATTAATATAGCCTCCTGTGTGTTTATTTGGGACTCATGCAGATCTAGAACCAGGCTGGCGCGGCAGAGCCCAGGCGACTGGCGGGGGATAAACCAAAGCGGCTAGCAAAAGAAAAAGCTTCTCTTAACAGAATGGTTGTCAGAAGCGGGATTGAATTTCCACGCAAAACAACAAAAGCTTTAAAGGAATTTTAGAAACAGAAGAACGGAGAGAAGCACAGATTTTGGCAGCAGCATTTTTCTCAGGTGTGCTCTGTTTTGCTATCAACAAGCCGAGATTCACATGGCTCGTTTACCGGAGTCTTCCTGACTCAGCATAAAAAAAAAAAACAGCAAGGTTGTTTTAAGAGACTCTGCTAACGATTGAAAAGTGTGTACGTACAGCTGGAAGTGGCAGCTTTTGCTGGATGTCAGCATGGACTGAGGCGGTAAGCTGGAATCACGCTTATGCCCGCCATCTTGAAACGGCAGTTTAAAACAGCCGCGGTTTTACAGATAAGACACGTGGCCACAAAAACGTAAAGCTTTACAGTAAAGTCAGACTTGGATGAACAAAACCTCTAAAGGTTTACAGTGTGTTTAAAAATATATGTGAGATTGAGAGAGAAACTGAAACGACAAAGTGGTAAATAAATACAAAAGCCGGCGTTGTGGTGGCGCACGCCGGTAGGATTGCTCCAGAGGCAAAGGCAGGCAGATTTCCAAAGAGAAACCCTGTCTCAGAGAAAAATAAATAAAAGTGAAAGAAATAAAGTAATAATAGATAAATAAATAAGCCACGTAAAGATGGAAAATACACAGAGAGTCTGGATACTGTACGCTATTGTGTTTTTCAGTTTTTTGCTTGCTCAGGAAGGAACTGCTGCTAAAGTACACTTGATTATAAATGCTGCTGAATTAATCCAACGTCTATCTTTTAAAAATGCCTTGACTTCAAAATTTAAGTGTAAGGATATGTTACTTGGAAAAGGAGTTTTTATTTATGTTTCTACAGAAAATGAAAAGCTAAGGATTCCTTCCAGGCTTTTGTGGTTTGACGAACCAAGACCCCCGGAAGCAGTAGACCAGGTGTTCCAACAATCGAAACAGCGAAGATGATGCAGTCTTACAGACCCCGAAAATATGGACTTATACAGGTTTCTGAGTTTTGTCATGATCCCCATGGTATAAACAGCGCCCCCTTCCAGCAGGAAGCAGTTTGGAATGAGCGACGTCCCAATTCCCATCTTGTTTATAAATCTTTGTTTTCATTTAAATGGGATTGTTTATAATTGGCTAGTGATCGCAGCCAATCTTTTTTAATGGTAAAAAGGGGAATTATGGTATGGGTATTGTTTTTCATTTATTGAGACAAAATCAAGGTCAATTTTGTGATGCTTATATTTCTCCTCTTGATTAAGTATTGTGCTTATACTGATCTTTTACAACGTAATGCATAATTGAATACAGACTATAGATAGTTACTTATAATAGAATTTCTAGTTACATAAGTTAGGTTTCTAGATATACAGAAATATATTTGAGATGGACAGTCTTCAAACCTCTCAAAGACCTTCAGAACATGGCATTTAAAATGGTTTAGGGTTTGTCTTGACAATGAGAAATGTCTGCTCCTGGCAGCACCAATTACGTCTGAGAGGAAGATGGGCATCGAAGAAACTCATTATAAAGTTTGCTTTCAGCATGGCAAGATTAGCCATTTGGGCAAGAAACTGCTCTTGCCTAGATTGTTTGACTGTTGTTGTATCATCTGGACATGCAGGACCCACAGGAAAGTGACTACTGAACTTAGTCTTACAGGGTTCCTGCTTGATGAAGAGTCTACGAGACTTTCTGCAGGACAAAGAAAAATGACTGACAGACTGCCAACGCAGATGGACAGTTTGAAATTTCCTGCTTTGCTGAGAAGTGTTCCAAACACATTGTGGCCTATGGGCTGAAGATGGATGCCCCAACGTTACAGAGGAACTTCGGGTGACTGTCCAGGCAGTAAGATGTCTCTGTCAATCCTAGTGTTTATATATTATCCTTCTGTGATCTTTGATGGAGTTGAAGATAGATAGTTATAATTATAGTTTTCCTTAGTTATGATAAAAGATACATATAGAACTTTTGACTCACAAGGATGGGATGGATGATATTTTCTTTAAATCTTGCTAAAATATTGTAACTATGTTCTTACTTGATAACTGTTCTGTCATATACAATTTGACTATGTTAAAATTAAGACCTTTCTTTTGTTTAAACAGAAAAGAGGAGATGTTGGGGAAGTCCTGTTATTTGCCTGTGCATTTGTCAATAAAGTACTGTCTGGCCAATAGAAAACCTAGATAGGAGGGACTAGGAGTCAAGGAGGATTCTGGGAAGGGGAAACACAAGAGAGTCAACATGTGACACCATGGGGGTAGGACGCCAGGAACTATTCTCCGGTAAGAAACATACTTAGATTAACAATTATGGGGTAATTACTTAAGGCAGAGCTAGCCAGTAAGAGACAAACAAGGCCAACAGCTTCATAATTAATATAGCCTCCTGTGTGTTTATTTGGGACTCATGCGGATCTAGAACCAGGCTGGCTCGGCAGAGCCCAGGCGACTGGCGGGAGATAAACCAAAGCGGCTAGCAAAAGAAAAAGCTTCTCTTAACAGGAGAGTAGATCAGTATTTATTCCTGGCATACAAATGGACTCTGGGAGCCCATTTCACATGGAGGGATGCTCTCTCAGCATGGACACAGGGGGGGAGGACCTAGGCCCTGTCCAGGATTATATGACAGACTCTGAAAATCATTCATGGAAGGCCTTACCCTCCCTAGGGAGTGGAAGGGAGATGGAGTGGAATGGTGGGTTGGGAGGAATGGGGGATGGGGGAGGAGGGGAGGGAAAGGGAACTGAGAATAATATGAACATGTATGTGCACACACATATAAAACCAATCTTATATTTTTGGTTGTGAGCCTAGCCTTAATGGCTGAGCCATCTCTCCAGCCCATAAAACCAATTTAAAAAAAAACTACAAAATTAAGTCATAAGTTCAGGCCATATGTGTATATTTGGTAAAAAATATTTAAAACGGCTTAACTCTAATCCTAGCTGTGACTTTTCATTGAACAGTAATTAGTTCATCTGTCATGAGAACAAAAGACCCAGAAGAGCTGGAGGGATATCAAAGCTCTCCTGAACTGTGAGGCTCGCCACAGAAACCTCTGCAAGCTTACACACCTTCTGAGCAGTGACCTTTGTCTTTCTTTTCATCTGGTTCAAAGAGAGTCATTGATAGGGCTGCCGCTGGGACCCAGAGTCCTAACACACTCTTTTTATTCACACTGGTTTGGATAAGAATTGACCTGGGAGGCACTCTGCTGCAATTTCAAAGACAAATATGTTTACTGGTCTGCAACAGTGAGTGACATGGCATGAGCTACCCACTTAGCAAGTACTCAGCTTTAAGATAAAGTTGAGGCTCAGTGTATTACTAAGTTTAGGAGAGATGAAAAGAACTTGGTAGAAAACTGGTAGGCAATCCCAGTGTAGGAAATTCTGGTTAACCTTCATCACTGGGCTCTTGCTGCAGAATCACAGGCTGCTTCACTCAGTGCCATTTGCTTTTGTCTGAAATGACGAAATCTGGAGGAGGAGATGCTCTGCCTTATGTAAAATATGACCTAACAGGAATTAACTTTATTTTGCTTTGTGTGCTTATAAATAAATACTAAGAAAGCTAGGACAGAAACAGAGCAAGACATACAGTTCTGGGAGCCTATGGTCCACTTACGCCCTGTCCTGGCATCTGCTGGGGCACCACCCCCAGAAGTCCACACAAAGGCAGTTTGAAGAACCAGCAACCTATATAGGGACTCAAGTAATTTTCTCATCTTTTTTTCCATGTAAATGGAATGCTTTGTAGTCTACATTCCTAAAAATATCTCTGGTAGCTGGATACAATTTCCATCATTTTGTACCATTCACTACAAATTTGGCTGCTTTGGTTATGTTTTCATTTAAAAATAATAATTTTAAAAAATCCGGTGACATGTCATTTCCTAAAGTTGGAAAATTCAGCTTAAAAGTTGGCAAAGGCTTTGGGGATTGTGGTGATGTAACAGTTGTCCACTCTGGTAAGGGCTGCTAACAGTGGGGGGGTATATAGGATGGAATGTGTATGGGAAAGCTCTGCACTAAAACTGCATAAATAAATAAATAAATAAATAAATACATACATACATACATACATACATACATAAATACATAAATAAATAAATGAGGCTGCCCAGGAACACATAATTCAGAAGTGACAGAGTTAGCTTTGAAAGTCAATCTGGCTATTAAGATCCTTGCTCTCCCTGAACAAAAGCACAGTCTTACTGTTCACAGTAAGGTATCTAGCTAGAATGTTGTTGGGCAGTGATTTGTCTTCCTTGAAACCCTGTGTCCTTATGGGAGAATTAAATTAAAAAGCAAACTTCTTTACTGACTAACCAAAGAGACAGAATGTAATACTTATCATTTTCTAACAGGTCTAAAATCTCCTCAATGTTACAAACTGAAAAAATAAAAGCATTTACATTTCTGTGTATGTTCATGGACACATCTGTGCCATAGCATGTATGGGGAGGTCATAGGACAACCTGTGGGGGTCAGTTCTTTCTTTCTTCCATGTAGGCCCAAGGATGGAACTCAGGTCATTAGGTTTGTCAGCAAGGGCCTTTACTGGCCCATGAGTCAACTTTCATAGCTGATGATAAATGGACTCCCAGTCCCCCAACATTGGGCTATACTACTGCAGTATAGCAAAGATGGGTCCCTCATTCTCTAAGCACAACTTATTTTTTTTATTTATTATGCACCAGATCTCATTATAGATGGTTGTGAGCCAACATGTGGTTGCTGGGAATTGAACTCAGGACCTCTGGAAGTACAGTCAGTGCTCTTAACCTCTGAGCCATCTTTCTAGGCCCGCACAACTGATTTTTTAAAAAAATAATAAGCAAGCAAGTTAATTAATATGCAGAAGCTGAAAAACAATGTCTGGCTTTATATTACAGGGCAAGGTTCAAAGAAGTGATGAGAAATAGCTAGCTAGGCAGATGGGCAGGTGCGAACATCCGCACCCTTCCTAGGAGTTTCACTGTATAAACACACACCACCACTCTAGACACAGTTGCACTGTATAAACACACACCACCACTCTAGACACAGTTGCACTGTATAAACACACACCACCACTCTAGACACAGTTGCACTGTATAAACACACACCACCACTCTAGACACAGTTTCACTGTATAAACACACACCACCACTCTAGACACGGTTGCACTGCCAGATGGAAGCTGACGTGGCCTCAGCACCACAGAAACCACACCTGGAGTTATCCCCTGCACAAATGCAAACAAGTGAACCTACCAGCACACACTGGACCCTCAGACCTCTGGAAGATCAGCCAAGAGCTTCTGATGCTGGTGAGTTAAGACTTTAAAGGTCACAGAGGAGCTGGGGAGATGACTCCGTTGTAAAATGCTTGCTGTGCAAGCACGAGGACGTGAGTGTGCAGCCCCAGAATGTTGTGAGGTATTTGTACACTGGGAAGATACACTGCTGTGATTAGTGTAATAAAGAACTGAATGGCCAATAACTAGGCAGGAAGAGGTTAGGCAGGACTTCAGGGACAGAGAGGACTCTGGGAAGAAGAAGGCAGAGTCACCAGACAAATGTGGAAGAAGCAAGACAGGCAGTACAGAGAAAGATAACGCCATGCGGCAGAACATAGATTAGTATAAATGGGTTAACTCAAGTTATAAGAGCTAGTGGACACAAGCCTAAGGTAAGGCCAAGCTTTCATAATTAATAATAAGTCTCCATGGTTGTTATTTGCAGGCTGGCAATCCAAAGATAGTCCAACAAGAAAGCTTGCTACACCAAAACCCACACAACCTAGGCGTGCCTGTAATCCCAGTGCCAGGGAGGCTGAGACAGGCAGCTCCTTGGAGTTTGCTGGCCCACCAGTCTTCCTTAATTTGTGAGCTCTTATTATCTTAGTCACTTTTCTACTGCTGTGATAAAATACCATGTCCAAAGCAGCATATAAAAGAATTTGGGGCTTACAGTTTCAGAAGGTTAGAGTCCACAATGGCAAAACAAAGTCATTGGGGCAGGAACAGCTGAGAGCTTGTATCTTGACCTGACAGTTGGAAGCAGAAAGAGAAAGACACACTGGGACTGGCTAGAGTCTGCTGAAATCTCAAACCCACCCCAAGTGACACACCTCTTGTAAAAAGGCCATGTATACCTCGTGATCTTTCCCAAACATTCCATTTAAAAAGAGACCTTGTTTCCAAAAATAAAGTGGAAAGTGACTTAAGAGAACTCCTGAAGTCAACATACATCCACACATGTGTATGCACACCCACAGTACACATACACTTACCAGATCAAAAGCCAGAGTGAGGCTGGAATGAGGACAGCAGATGCCCGGTGGAAAATTTTAGAACCATCACAGGCAGGATCCAGCCCCAATTCTGTCACTGACCCACAAATGTTGTAAGCAGCTCAATGGAGAAAAAATGTGGAAGTTGATGTGCCAACTAGTTTATAGTACTTATAGCCAAAACTAAAATAAACCTCCTGAAGCTCTGTGATCAGTCTTCTGAGGCTTCACACAAACACCACGGAATAAACAAGACATCTGGTGCCAAGATGCATCTTTGGATACAGCTGTTACTTATCAACCTCAAAGCTTTACCTTCACTCCCCAGTTATTTAAGTATCTGAACAACAGTTTTATAATTTCTTCACTTGGTACTTCAGACAATTGCTAGATGTTCTAATTTTATGTAAAACTAAATTATATAGCTGAAAAAAAGTCTTTGTGGTGTTCTCATAAGCATTAGACAAGCAGGCCCAGGTTTAACGCTCCGGGTATAACAATAAGCCACCTTCATTCTTGGCTCCTGGCTCCTCCTAAGGCAAAAAGAATACATTGAAAACTCATGTTTCTAACCTCTCCAGCTCTCTGGTATCAGCTGGAGATAGATTCACACAGAATTCTGATCATATGGGTGGACCACCTGAATCCAGGTCAGCCTCATTATCTCAGTGTTAGTTGATTAGTACCCTTCATTACGTCTGCAAAGAGTCTTACTATGTGACAAATTTCCTCTATGAACACTAAGAATTTATGGCCACAAAGGCCACAATCCTATCATCGGGTATCTATTGCTGTGGTGAAACACTACAACTGAAAAGCAAGTTGAGAGGTTTATAGGACTCACACTTCCACAGCACAGTTCATCACTGAAGGAATTCAGGACAGGAACTCAAAAGGGCAAGAATCTGGAGGCGGAAGCTGATGCAGAGGCCGTGGAGGGGGCTGCTTTATAGCTTCCCCTGGCTTGCTCAGCCTGCTTTCTTAAAGAACCCAGGACCACCAGCCCGGGGGTGGAACCACCCACAATGGGCTGGACCCTTTCCTATCAATCACTAATAAAGAAAATGCCTTACGGCCAGATCTTATATGTGCATTTTCTCAATTAGGGTTCCTGCCTTTCAGATGACTGTACTTCATATACCACATTGACAACACTAGCCAGTTCTCAGATCAGTTCAATATTTACATCACTTCAGTTTTAGTCTGTCTTTGCTGTGACATTTCCCTGAGTTTTCACATATGAATATCTTTGGATTATATCCTAGACTTTTAAAACACAGGGCTGGCAGGGCATTGGTGGTGCATGCCTTTAATCCCAGCACCCAGGAGGCAGAGGCAGGCGGATCTCTTTGAGTTCGAGGTCACCCTGTTCTCCAGAGCGAGTTCCAGGACAGGCTCTAAAGCAATACAGGGAAACCTTGTCATGAAAAACCAACCCCCCCAAAAACAAACAAACAAACAAAAAAAACCACTGGGCTGTTGGAGTGTAGGACTTACTTAGTCCTACAGAGCATACTGGTATTTGTGATGCACAGACACTGGCCTGGCTGGATTCAGGCTGACAGTCCCATGCAGTCTTCTGTATCGTATTGTCTCAGTGCTAACTCCACTTCAGAGTCCTGATTTTTTCCCCAGGAAAATCCTACATGTGTTCCACTTACCCTGATGCTAGCTGCAGAGGCCAGAAGAAAGCATTGGGTCCCTTGGAACTGGTTGTGAACTGACACGTGGGTTTGGGGAATTGAATGCAGGTCCTCTGAAAGAGCAGCTAGTGCTCTTATCTGATGAGTCATCTCTCCAGATCCTGGTTCTCAGTTCCGGACCCACACATATGCTCAGTGTTGAGCCCCCTAAATCTATAAACCTTAAGGAGCAACTTTCTCAAACTTTTTCTCTCTGATCTCTCTGGTATACTTGCTGTTCACCAGGCTCTCTTTTCAGTCCTTTAGTCAGAAATCTGGGGCTTTAACAGCCCTGCTTACCCACAAATTGTACTTTGCCTGTGATGAAGCTCCAAGAGGGAAGAGAGGGAAAAAGCCAAGAGGCAAAGAGAAGAAAATGGTGGACTTTCCCCACTCCTCTGTAGCTCCCGTGTGAGCACTGACAGCAGCAGGCCGGGAAGAGTGGAGGGGAATCTAGCAGCTCTCTGCCGGTGTAGGGTGGGGCTTCAAAGTCTGGCCTTCATCTCCACTACCCACTGCCTTTGCCTGCCAGAGGCCTCCACAGCAGCGTCGTGCACATACCCAGATGGTCTAGCTAATGAGTGGGAGGGCCAGGATGCAGTGTGCACTCCCAGAAACTAAGCTCCACTACCACACATTTTAAGCCATGAGCCAAAATAAACCTGTCCTTCCCTAAAAACAACTCCAAACATGTTTATGGTGGTTCTCACTGGGAGAGGGTACAGGACTGATTTTTACTCTACTTTCCAATGTAAGAGTCTTTCCCAGTTGCCTACAGTAATGGATGGATATTACCTTTGAAATCACACAGCTTCCTGAAGACACCTGTAATGGACTGCTTCACTTTTTTTTACTGATAGCTGCCGACCTTCCATAGGAGGCAAGAATGCTGTTTCTTGTCTAGGAGTTATAGTTGCTCTTGTTTTGCCTTTCTAAAACAATTCAATTAATAAATATACTTTTAAGTGGTCATGTGGTGCACATCTTTAATCCCAGCACACGGGAGGCAGAGGCAGGCAGATCCTTGAGTTTGAAGCTAGCATGGTCTACAGGGTGAGTTCCAGGACAGCCAGGGCTACACAGAAAAAGCTTGTCTCAAAAAAAAGTAAATAAATAAATAAAAGTTTCAACAGTGGAATTCATTTAGACATTGTGGCCTACTCGCCATATTAACTATTACTGAAGAAACTGGACTTTAATAGACAAAATATTTGGTAAAGCCTTGTAAGTTCATTTCCAACATCACTTCCTCCTTCCCAAACAAATTCCCACTAGTCAAGGATACTCAGGACCTTCACCCCACACACCACTGGTTTATTTGGGATCAAGCATGGAGCATAAAACTTTTCTAATCAGAGTTAGACTGATAAAAACTACTCTGGCTAAGGTTTCTAAGTCTCTCACATGGGCATCTGTTCCAAGGTACTGGTAAGGCCCCAAAGCAAAGTCTTCCTATGGTCATATGTTTCTGTCAAATTTACCAAAAATTATTTTGATTACAATCACTTGCAACTGTTAGTTCTGGCGTAACGTTGCCTGCACCATTCTCCCCTATGAGAAGGTAGCTTGGAAAGCAGTCAGCATTTCTGGGAGTCAGATAAAGAACCATTAAGGTAGATGTCCATGTAAGTTTCCTGTAGTTAATTTTATGAACTTCCTAGTGAGATGAGCTCCTAGGCTGCTGTTCACATGCTGTGTGGCCCTAGACACTCAACAGGAATGGGTCCACTGTTATCTGGCATGGAAGGACATGGACAATGGAAAAGAAATGACTGAGATACAAGGGGCCAGAAGCTCCTTTGTGAGAAAATTCTCAATAGACTTGTTACACTCTGGGCAGAGGTCAGTTCTTAGAAGACAGACCCGTACCTATCAGAAAAACAAGTCACTAATACAGAGCTACAACTCTAAGTATGCCTTAGATATATATTTTTCCTTATTAAATGTAATTGTGCAAAATAGAATAGAAATCTTTCCACTATCCTGGGAACACAAAGCTATTTATACACTATTATGAAATATGTTTATATGTGAAATCATATATTATGTATCCTACCAATAAAAAATTACCAGCCATTCTAGAGGAATGGATGAATTCTACTTTCTCACTGTCATGAAAAGGAAACTAAAAATACATACATGGCTAAAAAAAAAGAGGGGAATTATAAGTCAGGTAATTAGTGTTTCCCTCCTTCTTCCCAAACAGTCTCTCTCATGTATCCCAGGCTGTCTTTGATGACCCTTACCTCTATCACCCTCTGCTGAGATTACAGGGATGTGCCACCATGAGAGGGTTATGTGGGTCAAGCTCAGGGCTTTGTGTATGATAGGGAGACACTCACTCTATCGACTCAGTCACATTCTGAACTTACTTTTTTCTCATACTAAACAAATGTTTATTTAGTGAATTAATTTTTATTTGTAACCTTATTTCTTTAAAAGAGATTTATGTTTATTATCTTAGATGTATCGTGTGAGCGCACGAGAGAGCTTCAATTTTGAGTGCAGGTGCCCACAGAGACCAAAGGTGTCTGATCCTTTGGAGATGGAATTATAGGCTGATATGAGCTGACTTCTCTTTTCTAATTATACACAAAACCTAGCCATCAGACTCTGCTCTCACACGAAACTTCATTATTGTACTGTACTATTGATTTATTATCATTTTGTATTTTAAACATTTATTGATCACTTATTCTGATAATATAGAAATTCTAAATAATTAAGGGTGTAGGGCCTTCTAAGGGAGAAAAATCCCTACAATGCAGTGGGAATGTTAGATGGTGGTAAGCATGCTTGATAAAGTGAGGGTGTAGAGGAGATTGGCAGGTGGAGGAGCAGTTGGGATGGAGGACAGTCGAATCAAAAGGCTTACCAGTCCTTACACATGGCAGTAGCTACTGCTTCCAAGTGACCACCACAGCCAGAGGCCAGATTAAGCCTTTTGTTTGACACTGTGCCATTTATTGCTCACAAGCACCTGTAACAGGTGGCAGTGTTCCCACACTACAGCTTAATGAACTCCAGCTCATAGGGGAGAATGACTTGGCAGTTCCCCACCTCTACAGATGGTCTCAACTCCACCCTGATTCTATGCTGTGCACAAAAGAGGTTTAATCAAGAAAGGAAAGCAACTAAGTAAGAACTCAAGACCACTTGTCCACAGCAACCACAGCAAGGAAAAAAAATTACAATAGTGGCCACTCAGGTTCAGTGGGGTGGGGGTCTGACAGGAAGCAAGGGATCAGATTGCTATGGAGCTGGGTGGGACATTACTAAATCTACCTTTGGATGTCGTCAGGATGGGCTGGGGAGGAGTGATGAGCCAAAGCAGGTCTCCTCATTGTATCCTGCTGTCACAGTGCCTTTTTTGTTTGTTTGGTTGGTTGGTTGGTTTTTCAAGACATAGTTTCTTTGTGTATCCCCGGCTGTCCTCGAACTTGCTCTGTAGACCAGGCTGCCCTGGAACTGACAGAGATCCACCTGCCTCTGCCTCCTGAGTGCTTGGATTAAAGGCGTGTGCCACCACCACTCCTCATGGCTTTGCTTTTTAAATTACATTTTCTTGTGTGTGTGTGTGTGTGTGTGTGTGTGTGTGTGTGTGTGTGTGTGTGCATGTTTGACACTGTTCACATAAAGAGGTCAGAGCACAGCTTTTGGAAATTGTTTCTCTCCCTACTACTTTTGTACCAGGGAGGTCACCAGGTTTGGTGGCAAGCACCCGTACCCATTCAGACATCTAACTGTCCTCAGGTGTTTTTTTTTTTTTATCTTCGTATTTAGGGTTAGTGGGAAATAATCCTACAAGACTAAAACAAGATCACTTAAGCCATCCTGCCCTCCTGATTCTGTCCATGTCCATATGCACACGATTTCACCTTTAAGGTTAACAGCATATGTGAAGTGTATTTCCCTGGATCAAAACGGTTCAAATTATGCTTCAAGAAGGGACAGGAATGAGCTTGCCAAAGAATGTTTACTGGTCAAGAGTATTTACTTAATACCTGACTGATACAATGTTTGCTTGTCTGACTATTTTTTAAAAGTGGGATTTCAAAAATCAAAATATCACATACTAGTAGTTGCTTTCAAAAAATAGTAGGCCACAATCCTTTGCAACATAAACACTCCCAGGAAAATGATAACACTGGGATTTATCATACTACGTTCTATGAGATCCTCACTCAACTTTTCAGCTTTCGTCGATAAAGTCAAACCCTCCCATCAACAGACTCAACACATACTGATCCGAGACAACAGACTAAGGAACCCGATTTTTCACTGTGTCCTGGCTGCACACTTAGCACTGCATGGCGTATACAAAGCTCACGAAAGGAAATGAGGAATCGGACGGGAAAGGAAAATATGAGTGTAATGGAAATTGTGGGCAGAACTAAGAGAAATTTGTTAATGTCTGAATACAGGTGTTCATGGGACTAGAAGCAGGAATGTTTGGAACGGGGGAAACTGATAAATAAACACAAATGGCTTCCCAGGGGATTACCCATCGACTAATCTCTGCTTAGGCAATCCAGTTCATAGCCTTCCCTCCAAGTGGGATAACTGTGGTGCCACTGTCTAATTCTCTATCAATTCGTCTGACAAACACCCAGGATTAGCCTGGGCTTGGGCTGTTCTTTCACTTGATAGTAACAATTACTGAAGTCTACGAAGGCTTACTTAATGAGAGGCTCTGTGGCTGGGCTTGGTGGCACTCACCTTTAATCCCAGCACTCGGGAGGCAGAGGCAGGTGGATCTTTGTGAGTTCGAGGCCAGCCTGGTCTACTGAGTGAATTCCAGGACAGCCTCCAAAACAGAGAAACGCTGTCTCGAAAAACCAAAAAAGAGGCATTGTAACAGCTTTCAAACGTTGATTCTTAGTTCTCACAATAACCCCATGAGGTAAGTTCGTTTTAAACCTACTTTATGGATAAGAACCCTGAGGCAGGGATAAATGAGGGATATACCTCGCAGGGACTTCCTCTTTGGTAAAGGAATTCATAGGAAGGAACCTAACTCACTATTAGCATTCCTAGAATGTAGCAAAGCAAGGTCATTAGAGAAGCAGGGGCCATGACTGGTTTTGCACATATCCCAGAATGTCGCCCTAAACCCACCAGTTAACTTCTTCCTGTGCTTTAAAATGGAGTACACCTGTACTCTCAGTACTCAGAATTCTAACTAAGAGGGTGAGCTGGAGGCCAGCCTGGGCTATGGAAATTCTCAATAAAAACTGGGGGGCTGTGGGGTGCGGATGTGAGACAGCAGGACATGTCTCCTCTGAAGACCTTAAAACTGACAAAACAGCAGCCATAAAGTGCTTCACAATGACGTGTGTCCAGAAATTCACACACAAATGTACTTAGCCTACAAGTAAAGGTTACTTCACACCTCCTGATTTCAAACGACCTCTTTCACCTAACAGAGTATCTGTAGTGCCGATTACAATACTGTCTCCACAAGACCAAGCAGATTCAGTGTAACCCAGTAATTATCGAACATTTTCACAGCGGCCCAGGCAAAAAACGCCTCATGGAAACACAACAGAGCTAGCGAGAAAAGTCGCCCGGTAAAGATTCTGCCTGGAATGTTAAGTCTCTCCATTCTTTCTGAACACTATGTTTCGACATTATTTCCCTCACGAATGCCTTGCTTTAATTTCTCTTTTGCACCACCGCTACCGGGGCATGAAAGAAAGAACTTGAGAAATCACTGCCACGTATGTGAACAGCAAAGGCGTTTATAATCTACTATTTCCAGATCCTCGGGGAGTTAGAACATTAACACCTGACTTTCAGTTTTGAAGGTAAGGCTGAGAGGAAAGAACAGGGAGTGGCCATGCCTCCGGGCTTTCCACTTGTGGCTCTCGGTGCTGCTTCCCAAGGCTCCGGCTCTGCTGAGCTCTGGCCTGGGGGTGGGGGGGGTGGTCTTCGGGAGGGCATTCTGGTGGTCTTTAACCCTGCACGGGACACCAGTGTCCACGAGATACGCCAGGCTCGCGGTCACCCCCCTTCCTCGACAGCTGGTCTCCACGTGTGACGTCCCTGCCCTCAGTGCTCTGCTGACAGCCAGGCTCCGAGCAGAACTCCCCAGCCTGCCCATTTCCACCAGCGGACACCCAGTCTCGACCCAGGACTCTGCTCCCTCCGCCCTCCACGGACAGGCCGTTCGCAGCCGTGTGCTGTCAAGCGCGGACTCGGTGAGGAGCTGGCGCGCCTCACGAAGGCCTCAGAGCCGGGCGTGGACTGTCTGGTGGACCGCCAGCCTCAGGCCTGGTCCGGCTCACGGTCCGCTGAGCTCCGGCCAACGAAGGAAGCCCAAGCTCGACCCACCGCCCCTGCGCGGCTCGCCCGCCACCCCCGCCCACGGCCGCCGCGTCCTCACCGAGCCACGCCGGCCTGCGCCGCCGCCAGCCGGGCCTCCTCCACGTCCTGCGCCCGCGCCGCCCGCTCCCGACAGCTTGCAGCTTCCCCGCCCCCGCCGCGCGTCCGCCGCAGCCCCGCCCCCCCGCGGACGCACCGCCGATTGGCCTGCGGGCGGGTCCTCCCGATGGGCGCCAGCGAGCGCAGCACTCAGTTCTGATTGGTGGTCACCCGGGGGAGGGCGGGGCGAGAGAGCCCGAATGTCAAAAGCCAAGCTGTGCAGCTCCCCGGCGGGTGGAACCGTGCTCCGGCACGCTGGGCGGGGTTTGCGGACACCAGAACTCTGTGCTGGGTGGGATTTAGGAAAGCCGCGAGTTCTTAGTCTTACTCCTCGCTTTGGCACGTCGGGAGGACTCGGTCTTGGACGCGGCTTCGGAACAAACGGGAGGACTCACCCCTGGGCTGGACTCTGGAACGCGGGTGGGCCCTACGTAAACCTTGGACGGGACTTTGGCAAACAGGCAGTCTCAGCCTACAGCCTGGCTTTGGCAAGTAAGGCGGGGCGGCTCTGGGTGGGGCTTGGGACCACCCTCAGCTTGCGGGGCTGTCCTGACTTTGACACCCTTGGTCATGCCCTCAGGACAGACAGACCAGCTCCTTCCTGTCTACCACCCATCGTGCCCCACCTGGGAATAGTGGAACCGTGATCTGCGGACACCAGATGTTCCTAAAGGGTCGCTTCTGAGGTGCTGTGCCTGAGGCAGGCTTCGCCAAGAAGAGCCCTGGAAGCCTTAGTTGTTCCTTATGGTTTTGAGGCACTTTCTGGGAATCAAAACGGTGAGGCCAGATTCTGCCCCCCCCACTCCTATGACTGGCAGCACCCCGATTTCTCCTTCCATTGGTTAACTGAATGGCCCTGCAGGGAGCCAGGCCTCTAACCACCATCCAGGCTAAATAAATTCAGGAACGATTTGTACAGTCCCAAAGTGGGACAAGGTGGGAGAGCTTCTGTCTACTGAGGGGACCCTGCTTCTCCAAGGCAACCGAGGAGCACAGGCAGAATGGGCTCAGCAACGTAGGGAGGCCTTCCAACTTACTCCATCACCCTAGCATTTTCCTCTAACTAGCCTCTGCCACTGCGTGTGCTATCAATCGTAAGAAAAAGAGCAGGAATGAGGTTAGACACGAGAGGAGTCTCACTACCCTGGGGTCAGTGTGCTGCTCAGAAAGCAAGAGTATGAGGGGCCCAGAGAGTACTGGGACCGTCAATCCAGTGGTCTGGCTGCCCAAATGGGCACCAGGCCACGACAAAGTTGATCATCCACCCAGATTAGGATAAAGTTTATCAGGTTGGATGGCAAGTACTCAGTCCAAATTCTGGCTTTTAAAGTCGCTTTCCATCAGGTGCTCCCAGCTCTTGGGAGGCAGAAGCCGGAGGATCTCCTCCGAGGCCAGCCTGGTTTACAAAGAGAGTTTCAGGACAGCCACAGCAGTTACACAGAGAAACCCCGTCTTGAGAAATTAAAAATAAATAAATAAATGGGCTGGAGATGATTTAGCAGGTAAGATCACTAAAGCACTGACTGCTTTTCTAGAACACCCAAATTCGATTTTTGTAAACCACATGGCTGCTCACGACTGTCTCTAACTCCAGTTCCAGTGAAGTCTGACATATCCTCTTCTAGTCTCTTCAGGCACCAGGCGTGCACATGGCACAGACACTTGCATGTAGGCAAAATATTCAGACACACAAAATAAAATGTAAAAAAACCCAAAAATCTGAGCATGGCGGTTTACACTTTAATCTTAGCACTCCGGAGGAGGCAGGTGGCTTTGGCCTGGTCTACACAGGGAGTTCCAGGCTAGTCAGGCTACAAAGGGAGACTGTCTCAAACACTCCCAACCAATGAACTTGTTTAAAAACCTTAAAAAAAAACCTTGGGCGTTGGTGGCACACGCCTTTAATACCAGAACTCAGGAGGCAGAGGCAGTTGGATCTCTGGGAGTTCAAGGCCAGTCTGGTCTACAGAGCAAGTTCCAGGTCAGCCTCCACAACAATACAGAGAAACCCTGTCTCAAAAAAACCAAAAAAATAAAAACAAATAAATGTTGTTTTCCTAACCTTAGTTGGAAATACATTTGGATAACTTTTACTTCCCATTATGTTTAATAGTTGCTTCATTTTCTAATCAGTAAACGTAATTACCTATGAAGCTTTAGTGTCCATTTTTACCTAATAATCTGTAGATAATTTTGATAACCTGTACATAGTTCTGTTCCAGCTGTACCATTTCTTCTGGAGTATCTTCTCTGATGAAAACATGCAGTACTCACACTATTAATACAAGTAACTTCCTGTTTTGATAAACAATTGTCATTGGGGCCCTGAATCTTCCCAGTGAACCTCACACCTTACTCAAATAAAACGAGGACTGCTCATTTAATATCTAAACAATAGTGCTTTATTGAAAAAGGGTTAGTTTAAGTGGCTACAAAGTTGATGTGTAAAATGTGTTTTCAAAATACATTTCTACAGGTACAAGTTACTTCTGAGTGAGAGAGCATTTATTAGCAAAAGTGTATGTTTAGACCTGGGTGGAAAACCTGAAGGGGGATTTAGAATTGTGGCTGCAAGATCTTCCAGCACACATTGCCATCCTTAGATGTCAGCTGGCCCTAAATGGCAACCTTACTCACAAACATGGGGCTCCCACTGAATGCTTAGGAATGCTTTTGTTTCTTAAAATTTTTTTTCCAATCAAATTAATGTCAAAATAACCCAAACAAAGAACTGCATGGGTGTACTCTAGAGTCAGCAACACTTTTCTTGGTGGGAACCTCACACAATGAACCGCTGGCCATTCACAGTGATGCAACAGTGAAGGGGCAAAATGAGCACATTATTCTCTGTAACTTGTAACGGACAACTTTTAAGTCTCGTTTAACTAGTAGTATTGATTTTTGGCCTGAATTAAACAAACCTCTGCCTCATCATCAACCAAGCACTTTCTTCCACAGCAAATGAAAGCCCAGAACTAGCACCTGCTTTGCTTCCTCCGCACCGGTCTCCTTCCCTCGCCTCTTTGTCTGTGGCCATCAGCTGACATTAGAAGACATGGAAAGAGAAGGCAGGCCAGAGTGCCAGACTGTATGCCAGGCACGGCTTTGCTCATCTGCTGTGGCACAGATCTGAAGAGCCTTTCATTCCTGCCATGAAGACGTTTTACACTACACAAACTGAGGGAAATGACAATGGCTGAAAACACATGAGACAGTCTGCAAATGAAAAACGGTTATTTCCCTCAGTTGAAAATCACTGAAAAAGGGAAGAGTCAGAGGAAAACCTGGCAGGCATTTGGGCTTCAAACGGCTTTTTGTGCAAGAGCACCACCCAATCACAAGCCTGGGTTCAGATCCATGTCAGCCAAGGACTATGATTTCCACTGCCATGGCAGGTCTTTTTGCACCTGGTTATACAAAGTACATTAAAGTGCAGTATAAAATATAAACATTTTGGTTTCTTTAAAAAAGTATTGCCTTCTTAGTTGAGTAAAAAGTTCACTGACTCTTACTGTGTAGAGTCTTGTTACAACATGAAGCTGGAGCTCATAGCTGCTTTGGTTTTCTCCACAGCATAGCATAATCAGCATCCACGGTAAAAAAAAAAGTCCTTGTAGTGAGTTCTCTACAGAGGTTTGAAAAGGATCTGGCATGAGAATCCAGAGCTCTTAAAATTCAACGCTGAAATCCTGCTTTTTAAAAGCTATTGAAGTATAAATATTATCTTATTAGATAACCCTCCTCTGTTCTACCTGGTTAACAGATAAATGTGCAGATGAATTAACCGTATTAACTACAGCAGCAAAAGTAGTTTTAGGTGTTCTGCACAAATATAAAGTTAACAGTGTGACTTCATTCTAATAAGCAAATATTCTGCCACCAAGTATGCACAGCTACCTCTGTCATAGGCACATCAAGTCCACCACACAGGAACTTCTGAGCAAATAAAAATGTCTAGATACAAATCAAGAGTACTTGTCAGTGATTAGTCAGGCCAGCTCAATCAAAGGAATTCACTATTACCAGTATATAGACTGACTGATTCTTAGAAAAATCCTAACATTAGTGGTTAAGTAAGAAGAAAATCAGGGTTTACCTGACACAATATAAAGTGTAACATAGCAATGAAATATAAATGCTAAAAGTACTTCATACCAGAGGGGGGGAAAATGAGAAAAGAACCAAAAATCAAAGCCATCAAAAGTAAAAAAACAAAAAAACCAACTGAAATCCTCAGACACAGAGACTTAAATTCTTAACACTTCCAAGGGTGTTAAGAAACGTGATGCTGCAGCACTTATCAGGAATACTTTTCTTTTTATCCAACAGCATTTTCTGGAAAATAAAAACAAAACAATTTTAATGGAAGTGATGCATGTTTGTTTTTATCATTGACAATACTCCCTCTGCATATGAAAGGGCATAAATTGAGCAAAATGTTCTTTATCTATGACCAGTTAACTAAATCAAGAAGCCATTTATGAAGCTTTCTGAAACCATCTCAAGTTCCATGACATTTAAGTATAGAGAATTATACCAGGCCATTTCCAATGGTCACATAAATGGTTGCCTAAAAGGGGTGGAAGGACCCTCATTTAATTGGCATTGATTCTTCTTCCTAGCATCTTTATTTTCATCAGCAAAACCTTTTAATAAAAGTTATTACTGAGTTTCCAACACTATGACTAATGAAAGTTTAAAATTTTTCTTTAACATAAATTGTATTTGTAACATTAGAAAATAGGAATGCCTTTATTAGACAGTAGGTGGCAGCAAAGAACGGTTTCTGCTTTTCAGTGAAAGGCTAGTGACACAGCTACTGAAGGTTCAAAAACAAAACACTGGTAAGGTATAAGACAGAGAAGCTTATCGTATTCAAGGCTGAGCTGATGGAGATCACCGTACCTCCCCAACTTACTAACATGAAAACACACCTCACACATGGTGCCCGAGTGTCCCGCTGTCACTGTCACCACCCTGCATCTGCATCTGCATCTGGGCTTGCATCCTTGCAATCATCTCCTGCATGCGGCGAAGCTACGAATGGTACATGTCAGATTCAGTGTTGGTGCTGTCATATTTAGCTTGTATTGTTTTTCTCAAATACAGTAATATGTTTAAATAAAAAGTTACAAACCAATCTAAAATAACAATTCATCAAAAATCCATGTAAATGACGAAATATGTACTTCAAGTAAAACAAAACTCACCAATAAAGAGAAGCAACAGACTAAGACAATGAGACAAGAAAGAAGGCTGCTATTACCCTCTGGGAACAGAAAGGGAAGGGGAGTGGGAATGATTCATCTTTTCTGCTGGACAACAATGTCTTAGCTATGAAAACAATGCTTACCCACTGCTACCCTTATCCATTTTTTTGTTATTTTTGAGACACATTATCATGTAGTCCAGGTTACACTCAAACTCCCTATGTAGCTATGTAGCTGATTCTTGAACTCCTGATCTTCCTGTTTGTACTTCCCAAGTGCTGAATTATAGGCCAAATCCATCATGCCTAGTTTATGCCTTGCTGAGACTGAACACAGGAGTTTCTGCGTGCTAGATAAGCACTCTACCAACTGAGCTACATCCTCAGACTCCTTACCACTTATTTGTTTGTTCGTTTATTTTTGTTTTTTTAGGGACAGGGTTTTTCTGTGCTTTGGAGGCTGTCCTGGAACTCGCTCTTGTAGACCAGGCTGGTCTTGAACTCCCAGAGATCTGCCTGCCTCTGCACCCCCCCCTGTGCTGGGATTAAAGGTGTGCACCACCACTGCCCGGCCTACTCTTACCAATTATTGTCATTGACATTTGTATATGGTTAGAAAAGCTCCAGGAAAGTATTCTAAAATACTTACTCAAATTTTCTTCAGGTGACTTTGTGGTTATGGCAGATATCCACAATGAATTGATTTGGTTGAAGAAATAATTTTTTTGTTTACAAAAGGTTGTCCCCTATTAACCACATAACCACTAAATAATCTATATACTCCATAACTCTATCAGGTTTGAATGCACCATTTTCATTAGCAGAGTTCTATTCCTCATCGATTTCTAGCTGGTTATTTGGGTATCAACCGTTCTCTACAACGTTTCTGTAACCAGGAGAGCAAGGCTTGTCTCATTGGAACAATTTTAATAAATGAGCGCTCTGTGTTTTACAAGCTTGCTTACTCCTTCAAACATCAGAATTACTATACCTAGGAAAGGAGAGAGCAAGCACCGCTTTGCTGTAGTACTTTTTTAGACAGTTCTAAATCTAAAGGTTTAGAAGACTGATTCTTGTAGCAACTTGTCCTATCCACAATGCTTTATCTATTTAAATCTTTACAAATTGTATTAGAAGCATTTTCTAACTACTTCCTCCATAAAACCTATGTATTTCTATCCTTTTTGGTAACTGAATGCAAAATGGCAGCTTCATTGTGTTTCCCAGTTGGTTACTGTCTATGACATTTTATAAAAAATCAATCACATTCCCTTTTATTATTAGCTAAATTGCTACTGGAGACTGAATGAAGCAATGTATTTAAAAATATGTGTATTATGTATGTACACATATATTTGTGTATAATGCTTCAAAAAAGTAAGAAAGCTATGATAAGCTATTTATAAATATTTTTGGATAGGGCTGGAGAGATGGCTCAGGAGTTAAGCACACTAGCTGCTCTTCCAGAGGATCTCAGTTCAACTCCCAGCACCCATAACAGCTCACAATCGCCTGTAATTCTAGTTCCAGGGGATCTGATACCTTCATGCCAATGCACATCAAATAAATTTAGATAAATTATTTAGTAAAAAATCTTTGGATAGAAAACAGCTACAGACACCAGAACATGACTATTGTACTTACCTCAGCCTCCTTTTCAAGCAAGATCTGGTCTTTATTCATGTCCTCATTCTCCACTTTCCTAAGGGAACAACAACAAAAATTACAATCAGAATATTGCAATGTACTTCTGAATAGAAAGAAAACTTTACAATTCTGAAGACCGCTACTTTATAATTACATGCTTGCAGCTTTTTAAATTAAAGACATGGTAGGAGAACACAGGAAGAAACTTGGAATTCACACTCACAAATAGCAGGTCTAACCTGAAGAACGGTCTTGCTTTTAGGTAAAGATCCCCTTTGACTATATGGTAAGTAAAACGGTTACACTTGAAGGAGCCACAAGGAGCGGAGTGAGCAGAGCCTGGTGGAGCAGGACCAAGGAAAGCCCCTCTAAGCACACTGGCACCACCACCAGGGCATGCTAGGAATGCCAGGAGGGATTCTTGTACTTCCTATGTCTAAACCTTTCTAAATGTCTGGCTTCCAAATTAGCAACAAAAAACTTCAAAAAACTTTTTTATTCTTAATTATATATATGTGTGTATGTATGTATATGTGTACAAAATACACATATAGAAATACATTAGGATGGTAAAAAAGAAAAGGTAAGTGAATGTAGCCACATGAAGTCTGCAGAGAACAAAGCTCACACTCCAGGGACACCCATGGCGAGCTAACCCTCTACAGCTTTCAGTGGAAGCAAGTCTATCTTTATAGACACAGCAATACTAAAGAAGCACCAACACAAGCTTCCTGCTTTTCTATCTAAAGCTGTGTTTTGCCTGCCATATGTGCCCTTGTACCACAGGCATGCCTGGTGCCTAAACATGGAGTTACAGTTGTGAGCTGCTTGAGGGTGCTGGGAATTGATCCCAGATACCCTTCAAGAGAAGTAAATGTTCTTTTTTTTTTTAAGATTTATTTATTTGTTTGTTGTACAGTGTTCTGTCTCCATGCTTACCTGTAGGCCAGAAGAGGGCACCAGATCTCATTTCAGATGATCTGTCAGCCACCATGTGGTTGCTGGGAATTGAACTCAGGACCCTGAAAGAGCAGTCAGTGCTCTAACCCTCTGAACCATCTCCC